TAACAGGGAAAGCACAAAGAAAATAAGCAGGGTGTTCATTTGCATCAGGAAGGCTTCTCTTGTCCCTGAATTCTGAAGAAGGCAGGGCTCTTGGTCTGTCCTCCGCCTTCTTCTCTACAACCTCCAGGTAGTTGACAGTTCTGGTTTTACTTTCAGTTCTGGTTTTACTTTCAGTTCTGGTTTTTCTGTACAATCCTTGTAGATTTTATGACTCAGTAAAAACAGCTGATGCTATGGCTAAGGCCAAAGGACTCCAGCTAGCCTGTGTCCATTAGACAATACCTTGCAGATGAAACCAAATCAACTTTATCAGGAGCTCAGGGACTCCAGCAGAGAACATGCCATTTACTTTTCCAAATGTTTAAAAATAATCATTATGCTTTGCATAATGATTAATAATAAATAATAATAATAATCATACACTGCTACACTCAGTGCAGAAGAGAACATGGGATATAAATATGGACATGAGTGCTTCTAAAAAGGAAAGAACAGAGCTCAAAGTAAGTTGCTGGATGCCATACCTTTTTGAGATGACTGAAACCCATGCCACTGAAAGGATCACAAATGTAAAGTGACTTATCATTTTCTTTTATATTGAGTACTGTTTCTTCTTCAAGGATCTGGAGATGTTCTTCTGACTGGAATTCTTTTATAGCCTGCAGGTAAATGATGTGTACAACAACATTTATTTAATTAGCAAATAATTAATAAAGAAGCAATCCTGTGCAAACTACACAAGTGCACGTCCTTGCAACAGCTCACAACAAAGCTACTATGCAAACAGGTATTGGCAGAAGGGCTAAAACACCTCTTCACAATATTCTAACTTAAATATTTCGCAAAGAAGCCTTCAGGACCTGATCCTGCCATATGGTGCCTTTGGCTCCCACTAACCTCCTAAGGTGTAAAACAATGCAGAGTGCTCAGATGAGCGACCACCATCCAGGCCTTACATGTCCCTTCCCTATATGTCACCAGGTTTTGAAACTGAAGCTACTTCATGAGGCTCTCCAACAAAACTGTTCTTGTTCAACAAGCTTTACTACACACTAACACCCCTGCTATAGAAAGAGATTTATTTCCAGGAGTACAGACGTAAGTTAGTTTATTGTATGGCATATACAGCCGAACTCCGACACAGAAATCACACTCCAGTTCACCAAATTCACCCAGGTCACCAAACCCACTTACCTCAAGAGCTTTAGAAAAATACTCCGAGCTCCCGGCAGACTTTATGAACTTCACAAAAAACGGGTCCTTACTACTTCTCATCCTTCAACTACGAAGCAAAACCCAGTGAGCGCGCTGACATTCCCGCCGCAGCCCGGAAGCCCTCTCGCCCCTGGCGCTGTCCGCGCCGGGCCAGGGGCCCAGCACACGCCGCCCGGCCTCGGCGGCACCGGCTTCAAACGCGCCCGGAGGGGCGGGGACTGGCCGACCCCAACCGAGAAGCCCCCTCCCCACCGGGAGGCCCGTTCCCCACCGGGAGGCCCGTTCCACACAGGGCCAAGGCCCGCACGGACGGGTCCCTGCCGGGCAGCGGGTGCGCGGCGCTCCCGGTGCGCGGCGCTCCCAGCCCCGACGGACCCGGCCCGGCCCCTCACCCGCGCGGGAAAGCGGCGCTGCCGGCACTGCGCAGGCGCGGGGCGGGGCCGGGCTGGGGCCGGGGTTTTTGATTCGCTACCGCTGCCGGGGCGGGCAGAGGGGGCGGGGCCTGGGCGGATGTGCGCGGGGCGTGCCCGCGCTCCGCCCGCAGGGGGCGCTGGGCGCGCGCGTGGGGAGCGGGCGGGGCGGGCGGCTCGCTGAGGGCGCGCGGGGCCGCTGGGGGAGACGGGAGCGGAACTTAGGGAATCACCGAGGGATAACGCCTTGGGAGGGTGCTGAGCGAGCGTCTGGCCCCAGCCTCCCCTGCATGGCCCCCGCTGAATACGCTATACCCTATCCTGGCATTGACCACTACCAGGGATGGGGCATCTACAACCTTCTTGGGCAACCCGCTCCTCACCACTGTCACAGGAAAAAAATTCTTCCTGATATCTGACCTAAATGTCTGTCCCTTCTTTCAATTTGTGCCCCATATTATTCAATTTTTGCCCTATATATACATTACTCCTTATTCCTATCAGGGCAGTTCCTGACTGTGAGTCCCCCTCTGGCTTCCCTGCAGGCCCCCTTCAGATGCTCTGCATTGGGTTTGCACAGCCTGGTTAAAAACCAGGGTAGCCGGGGTGGCTGCTTTGAGCAGCCTCTGGAAGCTTCCTCCATGTCCAGCAGAGCCAAGCCCTGGACGATCCAAAGGTGGATTGGGCCAATTAGAAATGACGATAACGTCTCTGTGGTAATATATTTAAGAAGAGGGAAAACCAAAAAATAGTTGGGAAATGGTAATTGTGGCCGGAGAAGAGTGGCGTGAGTTGCATTTTTCATCAACCATCACCCCCAGGTTGTTCTCCACAGGGCTGCATTCCATCGCTTCTACACACAACCTGGAGCTGTGTCTGGCATTGCCCTGACCCAGGTGTAGGACCTTGCACTTCACTTTCATTCTTGTAGGTTGCAGCGTCCAAGCTGTGGGCAAGAACATCAAATGCTCTCCTTCCAGAGCAAATTCTGGAATCCCAAACCACACTCTTGGCATCTGCCTACATGATGACAGGGGGACCCTGCCTACACATCCGATGGATCTTCATTCCACTCTTAGTGACCACAGTGTTTGCATAATACTGATAATGCCTTTAGTGGGGGAGTCATTCCATTAGGAGATTTTCTTAGGGAAAGAGATCACACTATTAATTAGGTTAGAAAAGACCTCTGAGATCATCGCGTCCATTCCATGACCCAACACCATCCTGTCAACCAGATGGCAGATGTGGTACCACACCGAGAGCTACATACAGTCTCTCCTTAAACACCTCCAAAGACAGTGACACCACCCATTGGAAAGCCCATTCCAATGCCTAATCACCCTTTGTGTGAAGAAATTCATCCTAGAATATGTTTTGAACGAGAAAAGCACCAAAAGCCTGCCTGGAGTAGTGCATGTTTGCTGGCATCAAACTTTACAGTGAGACCACATGGTGGCACTGTGATCTTAAGAACTGAAGAACTGTGCACAAGTCCGCTGCAACTGTTAGATTTTATCTAGATGACCTAATACTTAGGTCACTAAATACACTGGAATTCCTTTATACGCTTATTTATTTTTAAAACCACTAATATAAATCATCTAGGATCAGTATGAATGGCCTGAGATACTGCTTTTCCCATTGGTAAATGTAAACAAAATCAAATGTCATGACAACCAAAATAGCGTATTTATTATTAAATTATGAGTGACAAGTAGTTAAGAGCACTGGATTTATCTTGATGATGCTGTGTTATTTGATTATGCTGGTTCTTGGTCCACTTGTAAAACCCCAATTTTGTCCTGCCTGTTCTTTCAGTGTTACGAAGAGGAATTTATTTTCCTTTTTCATTCTTCTGGGCTGTTGTAAAAAATAAGGGGATGGAGGTGGGAAAAGATCAAGAAGTCTAACAAAATGTTAACCAACTTTAATGGATAGTATAATACAAACTATTGTTACAGTTATTGGCAGAGTCCTTAACTGAATGTACCAGCAGTGCAACCAAATACTGAGTTTTCAATTTTCTGCTTGAATGTGGATCACGGTTCATTGCCGTCACTGAAATATGACTTGTTTTCATGTGCTGAAGTGTGATCCCTTTCCAGTGAAGTGATGGAAACTCTTGATAAGCTGCCAAACCACTGGGCCATCAACCTCAGTTCCACCTCTTTCCTCCAGAAGCTGCTTGTTGCTTAGAAAAATCCATGATTAGAAGTCCATGTTGTAGGAGAATCAGGGCAGTTTTTACATGCCTCTCAGAAAGCTTATCAGTGTGCCCATGCACGCTTGGTTGTTGTGCTTTGCTCCTGAAAGGTTGACAAAGAGGCATTACTGTGTCTGGCATCAAAGCCCTCCAGAGAAAGTAGTTTCCTAACTGCAAAGTGTTTTCAAGACCAAGCGAAAGTTCTTGTCAAGAGCAGAATAAAATATAAAATTTTTCTATAAATGTATTCTGTAAGTAAAAAACCCAAAAAAGCCTGACTAGAAGGTGTGTATTTGTCATTACACTGATATATTTACACATTTTAAAAGCATGTACAACGTCCAGAAAGTAATTGATGCACAGAGCCTTAAAGAAGAGTATGCAGCTGAAAATGAGGAGTGGTATTCTTCTGTTACACTTTCCATGTGGATGTAGTTCCAAAGTGGTGCTTAATATGACAAAATAAATAACACAGAACAAGTGGTTTGATAAGTAAAGATTTCCCTATTTTACTTCCTGCTTTCACAAGCACTTTCCACTGTAAAATTTCTTTGAGACTTCTTGAAACATTTGCTTCTTTGAAAATATTATTTAAAAGGCTGTCTAGAGAAGCTGGGAAACAGAAATTCCCCTTCTGGATAGTAACAGCAAACAAAATAGTCACTTTTAATTTGCTGTCTCCAAAGCTGTACAATACCATATGTCTTAGGGGAAGTATAATAACTATTAGAAGTAAAAATTGGTCCAAATTAATTAATACTCTGCTTGTGGTACATTTTTAAGCACCTGAGTAGCCCAGTATTTATTTTGTGTTTTCTATGTGTTCTGATGTTTAACAGGTTCTGAGCTTTATGGAGAATCAGTCGTATTTAACCACCAGTCTTACTAATTATGGAATTTTGCTCTCTGTAAGACTCCTAAATGGCAAAAAAACCCCCCATTGTCATAGCCCTCCAAATGATACCAGTTTCTAAAACAAAAGATAAATGGTCTGTGCCCTTGACTCTGTAGAACAGGGAGTATTTTTACTTATTCAGATGTTTTGTTAACTTAAATGTTTATAACATACACTTGTCTCTAAAAACATCTGTGTCAATCCAGTTCAGAAATAATTTTCACATCTGTTTCACCACTGCTGTGGTTTGATAGCCATTATGCCTGCATTCATTTTTTTTTTAAAGTCTTTCTCTTGTGCAGGTTACATAAAAGGCAAGCAAAATCACTGCGCTAAAGAACTAAAACAGTCTTGAGTCATTCTTCACATTTGATCCAACCTGGTTAAAGCTCCATGTGAAATACTTTATTTTTAAAATACTGTTACCACACTTATTTTCTGATCAGCTATAGGACATTAGTTTTTAAATGATAGCTCAGTAACATTATCTTTTTAGCATGAGAAGCATATAAAAAAGCAGATGAGTAAAAGAGACTCTTCAGATGTATCAAACTCAAAAATCACTAGGTATTAGCCCCTAGCATTTAGAACTATTGTGAGAAAGATCTAAGTGGTTAGGACTCAACCATACACAAAAGAAAATATACCATAAAATATCAGAGTCCATTCTAAGTATATAAAATTTTCCATTTCATGCTGTATGATGGACCTTAGTAACTTAGCATTATTTATAGAGATACACAACCAGACCAGTAAAAAATATGTCTGAGACTAAGTTTAAATGAGTGAGGTATCTTGTGTAATGTACAAAGTCAAGAGATGTTTCTAAGTAACCAGTGTAACTTTAAAACCTCTAGTTCACTTCAAAAAATCTGTTAGCCTGCTAGCTCAGGACCCCAGTCAGGTAATTTTCTACCTTCTTTTCATGTATTTTAAAATACCCAAGTCTGTGAGTAAATGCAAACTTTGGTAAGTATGTGTTCTGTGATTTTTTTTTTCAGCTGCCTTAGAGACAATATCCAAAAGAGATTCAGCAGGCTTTCATCAAAGAGTTGATCTCACAAGAGTCAATCCAATTTTTTTACTTTACACAACTTATAATGCAGCAGAAACTTCTTGTTCTCCAGTAGATTGGGTGTAGGTGGAGCTTGCTCGTTCAGCTGTGTCAGCATAGAGAACAGGACAGCATTTAGACAAGTGGGCTGCAATCTGCTTTCGGAAAAAGCTGCGAAGATATTTCCTAAATTTTTCTCCAGCGAAGGCATAAATTACAGGGTTGATACAACAATGGATCATTGAGATTGTTTCTGTCACTTGTATCGCTTTATGCAGTTGACCATTTCCTTCACAAGTAGAGATGGAAAATGCACCTTGAAAATCACGCAAGAGAATGCAAATGTTGTATGGTGCCCAGAAAAAAAAGTAGATAATCATGATGATGAAAATAAGCCTGACTGCTTTATGTTTCTTCTCATTCCTACATTGCAGCAACGTCTTTATAATTTGTGTGTAGCTGCAGATCATGATTAACATTGGAATAAGAAGTCCCAGGATGTTCATATTTAAGGTGAGGAATTGCTTCCATGTATTTCTCTGCTCTGATGGATAATGAGCACTGCAAGAATAGCCTGAACTTTCCTTCTGAGTTTTGTGAAATACTACCCCAGGAACAGAAATAAGAACAGCAAGAGCCCAAGTGACAACACTGGTGAGGACACCATAGGTGACTGTCCTGGCTTTCAAAGCAAACACCGCATGCACTATGGCCAGGTACCTGTCCAGGGTCAGCAGGATTATGAAAAAGATGCCACTGTAGAAGCCAAGGAAATAGACACCTGACAGAATTCGACAGAGTGCCTCCCCAAAAATCCAGTCATGGACTGCATAATAAGCCCAAAAGGGGAGAGAAAATACAAACAGCAGATCAGAAATTGCCAAGTTGAGCAGGTAGATGTCAGTCATGCTCTTCAGCCTCTTGTATTTTACCAGGATAAGGACAACAAGCATGTTGCCTGTCAGGCCAAATATCACCACTAAAGAATAAAGAGGTGGCAAAAAATTTGCTGCAAAGTGCTTTTCCTCAGTTGCAGGGCAAGGCGTCGAATCACTGTAGTCAAATTCTGTTGTCAGTGGCCAGTCGGTGTAGTCTGTTGTTTCATTTCCCATGGTGTATTGGTCTGGAAAGGAGAAAAAAAAGCCATTAAACTAGAGGAATCTCCAAGATTTTCAGTGAAGGGAATGAAACATGCTGATGTCCTCATCTGAAATGAGTTTTGCTGATGAGCACACAAGCATTACAATGTCAAGAGAATGAAATTGCAGAGCTCCCAGGAAAAACTCATCCATACAGTTGTGCAGTGACACTGCTTCATGTTGGAAGTGTGCCGTGTGTCATTTCCCACATGAACATTGTCATGTGCATTTTTCCTCCTCAGTAACAAACGTCAGCTGCCTGCCTAAACCAGAAACAGAGGAATGGTGGATTGAATCTGAGCCATGGCTATTTTTGATTTAGGCAGTCTGTGAGGGACTGGCCTTCCCTTGCTAAGAGTCAGGACCTGGGAGGTGATTGTGCAGCAGAGCTGTGGAAGCCATCAGGCAAGTTCTGCTACACACTGAGAGCAGAGAAAGGCTGTGACTGTGATGTCAATCCCTACAGTCTCCAAATGCTCCCCTTTTCCCAAGTCCCTGATAGGACTGTGAGCCAGATGCAGAAGCTTAGATTTGTTTAAATTGATCTCTGAAAAGCTCAGGACAACTGTCTTCTCACAGACCCCCAGAGTACACAGATGAGTTCCTGTGTGTCCCATGAGAAGCTGGGCAGAGGATTTTGTGAAGTGTCAGAGGGACCAAAAGTGCTCCCTGGTCGCTTAGGGAAGAAATGCAATCGATGCCTTTGGTGGCCACGCAGGGAGAGCTACTCGCTGTCTGCTTAAAAGGCTGCTCTGTCTTCCTGTGCCATCATGACTGCTTTTATCAGACACTTCATGGCAGGCAGGTGGCTGCCCATGGCATGGGGTTAGTTTTGAAATAAGGCTGTTCCTGGAAAGGCCATGCCCGCTTAGACAAAGGCAACAGAGCTCTCCTGATGCAGAGGAGTTCAGGCAGTGCGTCTGGCCCAGGCTGCTGTGTGATATCTGAATGCCCATGTGGTGCACCAGTGCTCTCTCCTTTCCTGAATGCACTTTTTTCAGTGGTGTGCTCTGCCCTGTGTGATTGCAGGCATCTTTTGCAGAGACCGCAGTCTCAAAACCACCACTATTTCATTCTGCCTGTACTTGAGCTGTACGAGTCTAAATGTCACTGAAGAAACTCAGCCCATAGTTGGAGTGACTGAGAGACAGGCCCCTGCTCTGCTTTTTGGTTCAAGCTCATAGTCACCCACTCTGACTTAGAGTTTGTGAAATCCCCAAAGCATCTCTTTGTGCCTGCAAATAAAACCTCTCAGGAGAAAGGACTCTTTTCTGCTGTAAAGACAGATTGCTCAAAATGTCAGTGTCCTTAATCTGTGTCAAAGTCATTGACTTAGCTAAACCTAAGCTGAAGTCGTAGGGAAGGGGCTATTTGCTAGTTCTGTGACCTTAAAAATTAGGTTCTGCTGCCAGCTCCGGATGGAGATTCTTATGCTGCACAGTGCAGATATGCATCTGCTCCAAAAGAGGAAGTTTTGTTGGAGCAAAATCTGCACCTTGTACAAAAATAAATGCTTCTTTTGCTGCTTTTGCTCTTTCCTCTAGATTTTGAGTCTGACTACCAGCTCTGCTCCTAAGAATAACATCTCTGTTCAGACGTTACTTTGGTATGTTGCATACAGTGTAAAGTTTTCTTTTTGGAGAATGAGGAGTAAGAGAACATTAACAAATTGTAGTTGTTTGGGTCTCAGCTTTGCACAGATACAATTTCTTGATGACAAATAAGTGCTGTCAACCTCTTCATAGGCTGTCTTTTAGGAAACTCTGGCAATCTCTGTGAAACAGGTTTTTTTCCATAGTCATACTAACTATGTAGTTATTAAAATGCAGCAGTTGTGGTTTTGTTGGTAAAGGAAGTGTCTGTAGCTCTCTCTGTTTTCAGTAAATAAACTTGATTTTAAAGTAGCTAAGGGTTTAGATTTCTAAAGTTCTTTCAGCAAGACTTTTTTAAAAAGTGAGTTTGGCCTAAAACATTAAATTCTTTATGTCAAAAGATGATGAGACTTGAGCATTACCCAAGTAAATATTTAAGATTTCCTTCAGCTAGACTTGCTAGATCCATGTTGCATGCCCTGACAGTACATCCCTGCACATAGCTGAGTATCCTTATTTACAACATGTCAGTCAGCCAGGCTATATGCTGGGACTATGGGATGAGTGCCAGACCCCGCACTCCCAGTTTTGCTTATTTGGCACCTGTGGGATAGTCATGCAAAAATATGGGTATGAAAAACAACTAAGTAATAAACTCAGAGTGGGATTTTATGAGTAGGTAATTGATAGGATTCATAGCAAAATGCTGCCTTGATATTACTGTGATAATTCTTTTTTGGCAGACCTTTCTTGCCATTAACTGCTATCTCAATGCTTTCTCTCTTTTTCCTCTACCTTCCTGGAATGACTACCACACCTTCCCTGCATTATCTTCTTCCTTACAACCCTTTTTGCATGCTTAAGTTACGGCTCCCCCTTTGAGCAGTCGCTTCTGCTAACCAAGCCCCATTCCTCTAGCCCAGCCTTTGCTAATAGTTTGGAAACCAGAAAAAATAACTATAAGTACATTTGTGCTTTATCCTATAATCTTGATGTTTTAGGAGACACAGTTGGAGACTGGCTGGAATATTTCACTGGGTTAATCAGTTCACCTAACTAGAATAGGTTGTTTACCTAACTAGAGTAGGTTGTTCACCTAACTAGAAGGACTGACTGGGCTTATGTTTTCTGATAATTTAAGAAAACCTGAAAAGCAGTAAACAAAGATCTCTGAAGAAACTACATTTTTAAAAAAAGTTCTATATAATTTTGAGTACAGTTCATATTTCCAGAAACCTGCAATCTGTTGATTCTGTTGATCTCCTTGAAACTAGCAGTCATGCATTTTTTAAAAGAAAGGCTCATCATAGAAAAGATGAGTAAACCTGTGTCCCTGTTTCATGCCGAGTTTCAGGTCACACCTTTTGGTGTTTTAAGAGACAAAGATTTCATTAAAGTGAGTTTCAGTTCATTTGCACAGTCCCATAAAATAGTAATAATTATAAAGTTGTGGCACATGGAGGTAAAGTGCTAAGTTATGCTACGCGTAAACAGGATCCAATCAGGCAGTGTCTAAAATACAGTGCTAGTTTTTCTGTAGTCATCCTATGAAAAGCATAAGTACTCTTAAATAACTGAACATTCAAGCAACTGTTTTGAAGGAAGAGTTTTAAAATCCACATTTCCATCATTGCACATCATTTTCAGAGACAAAATCAGGGAAGCATACTCCATTATGTTTCTTACTCAGATCAATCACTAGAGATTTGTTTCTTTCTCTGCCTGGATGCTCTGCTCAAGTCTTCTAGTGATTTTGTCCTTTAAAACTACTGTATTCCATTTAACATATATTATGCATTTCGCCAGCATAATTTTTAAAGATGAGTACACTGTCAGGATTACATTAGTATGTTTCAATTCAGACATCATACTACCTATGTAACTACTAAATGTAAAAGAAAATAAAAGTGGAAAGATGACTTACCATGTATCTTATGATGGAGGTGATGCCTTATATTATTACAACATGAGTAATGCTAAAATGACTTGTCTGTCACAAAAAGAAGGTCAAAAACACGTCTTCCTGTGTGAAGAAGGATGTATTAGTTTGAAAACTTCAAGCAAAAAAAAAACTATTTTCATTTAAAAAAAATGAAGGAGCAGTTCTCTGGTTCTCTTTTTTCCAAAAATGGGTCATCAGATGTTATTTCTCTAACTCTTGAGACGTGCAGATATGTTGAAATTCTAGAGGATCCTCCTAGGAGTTGAAGTTTCACAACCCACCACTATAGTTTTAGAAAAAAAGTTCATATAATTATTTTATCTCTTTCTTTTAGCTAACCCATTTGAATAAAGAACAATTTACATGTGGTTCATCCCTTTACATTTTTAAGTCATTAAATTTCTTTTATGTTCTTCTGTCCTTTAAAAACATGCAGAGCCTTTGAATAAAGTTTATGCTTCTGTTCAGAATTACCTGCACTTTCTATTGTCTTGCTCTGAGTTGCAGTCCTTATATTTCAGGATAGTTGATCAATCCTATTTTTCTTTCACCTTGTCTTCTGGACTGTGTTTTTTATTTTAATCCCTGTTATAAGACTGTGTAGTGAGTCTGATCTTTTAAAAGAGCACTGTTACTGATGTTTTGGAATTAAGCTTTAGAAAACCCTGATAAAATCTGATCTCTTATCAATTTCCTTTCTCATAGCTGATTCTTCTTAGTTTTAAACTGAAGCTGCACTGTGAGCAGATTTCTAGATCCTTCCTAGACATCAAAGAAATTACAAAGGAGTTAGGAAAAATACAGAAAGTAAGATAGGGAATGGTGCCTTAACAAATGACAGAGAACCCCTTAGAGAGAACCCCTGAGAAGATACCTGGTGAACTACCACTCCCTGCCTCAACTTGACATCTCTTGGCAGGGTTCTGAAGGATCTCATCCCATCAGTGAAGGCACCGAAGGGATGCCTTTTCTGCATTCACTCCTTGGTATCCTTGAAAGATTTTAAAACAAAAGCACAATGATGTCTTTCTTTGGATGCTGCCATTCCTAAACGGAAGTCAAGGGAATCACAACCGCTGAGTTATCCCTCAGATCCGTGGGGAGACAGTAAAGAGTGAAAAGCTCACTCTCTTTTCCTTGTCAATGTTCTTTGCATGAGGGACTAATTTTTATTCCATAGTACAAATGGTTTTTTCTCTTCCTTTCCTAATCAGCTGTTTCAATGAGCTCTTTAAAGATGGGAGGCTCAGGATCAAAATTAATGGCCCCGAAGGGTATTCTTAAGGTCATGTTCATCCCACGATGCTTGGTGGACTGATTATATTAGACCCCCTACACAGTCAGTGGAAATAGCTGCTTCTAATTCTATTTCCACTACACTTAAAACAAGTCCCTAATTACTGCCTAATTTTCCTGGATAATGAATTCTGCTTTCATACTGAATTTTTATCATTCTGAAACAAGGTATCCTGTCAAATTACTTTTTCAATATGTAATTTCTAAATAATCCATACTAAAATTAATAGATATTTTAAGTATCTCTTCATGGAGACTGCATTGATTGCTGTATGTTACATGTTACCTGTCCCCCTGGAGACTCTAAACCCTTTCATAATTTCACACTACAGGAACAGGGTAAACAGTCTCAAACATGTTGCTGGACTTGCCTCTTTTTCATCAAGCTTTTTAATTCTGAAATATGCTCCTGCAAAACTTGCCCACAACATTTTGACTAACAATAACAATAACTACCACTACTACTTAAAACTAAGACCTGTGGTAGGCTGGTCTTCAAAAACAGTCCCTTGTTCCCACATATTCATTGGCTTTATTAATGTGTTTGATTTTGTTCATTATAGCTTTTAGTTCCCATAGCTCAGTCTGGTCAGCAAGCACAGTGTGGCAAGTTATTTACTGATGAAGAGTATTGCACACCAACAGAGGGCCTCTGCCACTCACGGTTTTAACAACTGAATAAGGGGAATGCACTTGGTCTACTCACCAGCTGCATCTTACAGCTGGATGAGAGACTCCCCAGAGAGAGCATGAATAGCTGTGGAACTTGGCAGCCCAAGTACTGGGTTGTGTGACTTTATTGTCAGCACCTGCAGGATATCTACAATTAGCTCTACCCCAGCTGCAGATGAGCAGAGCTGCTTTGGAGGCCAGATTTGGTCAGGTCTCGCATGACACTAGAAAAGCCCAATCCCCTTGTGCTGTTTGTGGGGCATTGGGTGCTGTTCATCAATGCTGTTAGGACAAGAACTTTCCTGCAGAAATTGGTCTCCCATCCAGTCTGAAATTTCAACACACTAATCTGGACTGACCATCTTAATGCTGTCTCACCTCCTCTTCCCTGCTGCCTCCGTCTTCTGCTTGTGAACACAGATGCAAGCAACACATCCATCATTGCAAGTCAGATTTTTCTCAGCTTTTCTCAATCCCTTGCCAAGCATTTCTTTGAATAAGTGCATTGCTGCTTGTCATGAATGCCAGTGGATTTTAAGACTCTTTACCTAAGATGAACCTTATCATTTTACCAAGAAAATGAAGCTATTGTTCAATAACAAAAGTAATGATTCAGTGGGTTGATATGGCTTTGAATTTTACCTGTCGTGGTTTTCATTCATTACTGAGTCCTATGTTTAGTGGTGTGATGCTCCTTCCCTCCATAAAGATATTCCTGGAATGGAACTGAGCTACATTCCCCATCTCTGGTGCTCAAGTTGATGTACTCGGCAAGTCTGCAGCCATGTACACTGTCAAGCCAAGCTGCATTTGTCAATCTCTCCTATCCAAAGTTTGATTAGATGATTAATCTTTACAGCAATCAGCCCATCACACTGAAGTGTCTGGTGTCTGAGTGGTATGGCACTCCCAGAGGAGAGGCTGTCATTTATGTGAGTTTTACACCGGTACCAAACTGGTTGCTAGGACACATACCAAAAAATTCACGTACCACTGTGATACACAAGTGTCATCAAATCTAATTATGAGTACAGAGACTTGAAAATTCAACTTACGGTTTCCATTCAAGTTATTGCAAATTTGCACCACCTGGAGAAGAAAGACTGGGGGGAAGATGGAATCCTGGGACAGAATGACAAACACCTTTCTTAGGTATCCATAGTGTGATAGAGCGAATAGTCTTATTAAAATTCTATCACTACAGCAATGATTAATCCTTTTCATCTGGAGAAGAAGTCAAATGAAGACAAGTGAACATGAACTAGATTAATCTTGTTACTTGCTCTATTCACAACATCTGCGTCCAAATTAAGTTAGTATTAGCATGTATTTTATTTCATCAGTAACAAGTGTCTTTGTCTTGAAGAGGCTGAATAAAGACATCCAGCTCAAACTACTTTATTGCTTAGGCTATTTTTTCTTATCAGCCTTCTTTCAGGCTCTCAGGTTCTGGTGACTCATAATTTGAGCCACCATCACAATCACACCCAATCTTAACATCTGTGAGGTGTATTCTTTTTGGGAGAGCAGGCACAATGTACCACACCCTCAGATTTCTATCGTAGAGACTAGTGAAAAAACCAAAATTTTCACACATAGGTGTAAAAGAAGATGGGTTACAAAACCAAATTCTTGAAGACACAAGCATTTCTAAAGCCAATGAACATTCCTTTACGTTGTTTTTTTATTGTCAATAGCATCAAAGGTTGGGGGCTTTCTCACCTATTATTCTTAGGCTGTTTGTTTCTTCCGTGTAAATGCCACATGTCATTATACATTGCAGCACATCCTATCTCTTTGTCATAGTATGATTTTTTGTTTTGGCTTTCTCCAAGCTTCTCTTACTGAACTATGTTTCCTTATGTAGCAAGGAAGAGAACATTGCTTCCTTTTTCATTTTTATCCAGGTTTCTGGTGTATGCTCTCCCAATTTGTAGATAAAGGGTTGTCATTATTCAATAGCTTTTACTGTTGGGCCACAGTTATGCATTTCACAAAATTTGTTCTCTCAAAATCTCATTTTTACATACACCTTTAATTCACACACTTTGGGTTTTTTGGGGTACATTTATAGTATGTAAATTCTAAGTCTAGAGTTTGATGTTTTAAGGCTATCTTGCCTGTGCATTGGATATGCTCCTCCTGTGTACCTGTAACTACTGGACCTTTTATAAAGTAGACTGGGGAAATCACAAACCAAATTTCTTCCCAGTGAAAACTAGGTTACACAAAGGGTGAACAGAGTCTGTTTGATGACAAAGTGTATGCCAGTAAGGCAATAAAGTAGCTTGAAAGAGTTAAAATTCACTGAAGTATAATACAGGATAAATAAAAGAACTTAGGAAAAATGAAGGAAAAACCAAACATGCAAGAACCAAAATCTATAACCCGAGAAGTAAGAACAGAAGGACACTATAATTTAAGCTACAAAGAAAATGAAACTATTGATAAAGCCAAAGAAGTTTGTTTAGTCATTAACAGAGTTAAATACTTGCCTATAAGCTTTTACTCACAAAACCACCTTCTTCAAAGAGCATGCAGGGTAAAGGAAGTGTGCACTCCCTTAAATGGAGATCATAAAATGCAAAGCCAAGGACTTCAGCTTTAGGTTGGTACATATGTGGGAAATGCCAATCTTTTATTGTTCAAAGCATGTAAGAATGGGCATCTGGCATTTTGGAGGTGTGCTAGCTTTGCAGATTTATGACCTAGCACCCATCTCTGCCCAGATGTAAAAGAAAGAAAAAATAGCTCAACTGCATGTGTGAATCAGCTTCTTGCACATCAGGTGAAAGAATCCATACTGAGGACACCAGCCCCTAGAAACCAGTAAGTCCTTTCGAGAGTCAAAGGTTAGATATAGTCTGTAATTGTCCATACCTTATATTAGTGTTCCTGCAAGGTATGTCCAGATGGCTCTTTTACTTCCATCAATTTGGTTTGCATTCCATTCAAAAAGTTTTGTATCAGGATAGGCCAAGTTGTATGGGTAGCATCCTACTGGCACAACCCTGTAGATAGTTCTGGAGAGCTGAGTGTCACTAGGAGGTTTGTGCAGTTTTGCATATTGGCCTGTGTTTCTAAAAATGCTGCCCTCCTCTGTTTCAGTGTTGGAGTCCCACCTTCCCAGCATCAGTCATTCCAGACTTCAAACATTCAAACCAAAATTGCTCTCGTTGTCATCAGATGTACAAAAGATCTTGGCAGTGACACAAACTTTGACAACCTTTTCTTAAAAGTCCTTCTGTTCAATTTTTTGAATAAAGTACAGCTCCTAGTAGGCAAGTGTCACCAGAGTATGAGCACAAAACAATGCCTGTACCCCTTTGTTCTGGCCTGGTTGCCCTAGATATGTTAAATGTACCAGAATTTTCCAGTTTGGTCTTTTTCCTCTGTTATCTTAAAATTTTTTATTACTTTATTATGGAGTAATGGTTCTGAGGCCCCAGTGATCACACTAAATACTTCCTAGTGAAGGTCAGTAGGCATCCGCAGTTGAAAACAGCAGCAAAATTAAATTTCAAAATGAGCGGTATATGCCTGTTTTGCTGTTTAACCTGGTCAGTGTCAAGTTATTCTCCTGGCACTTTCTTTGTTTCTAATTAACTGCAGCAAGATGCCATGTAAATTTTGTCCTTATATTCTTTGTATTTATCCTTGCTGTAATTTTCACTGGAAGGAGAGATGTTTATTTTGGAGCTTCATAACTGTAAGTCTTTCTTATGATGCAGGTATATGTCGCAGTGCAAAGCTGCAATGCAGAATCAAGAATTATCTTGCATGGGCACATAACAATAGCTTAATGTTTGAGTTTAGTTTATTTGTGTTCCTGCAGCAGAAAATAGAAGATTGAAATCAGACCAAAAAAAGAAAAAAATCAGATGTGGTTATAGAATTTACCTTAGCCCATGGTGGATGGATAAGTAGAGGAAGAGAAGGAGGTGTGGATCATAGGCTGAAAAAAAGGAACAGCACAATGAAGCAGGGAGAATGGCAGGGTGAAGAAGAAGCATATTTCCATATTGAATTTGAGGGCTTAAGTTCCTTACACATAAAACTTGGGAAAATGGGCACACTGCTTGTCTGAGAGGACTTTATATGGTGCAAAGAGATCTAAAATTTGCTGCAGAGAGTCTACAGAGAATCCTGGGTTTATCCCAATATTAATATAGTGACATCTTTTATTGCCCTTTTTTATTCCCACTCTTTCCCTATTTATAATATACGCAACCATATTTCTCCAAATCTCACTCATTTAAAATCTGTGGCCCCAGACTTTTTCCAAAGCTATTGTAGGTCACTCTTCTCAAGTTTGCTGATGGATAAAAGCTGTGCCAGCTGCAGAAGCTTCCAGACTGGGCCAAAAATTCTGTGTTCCCTTAGTTTGAAGTGTTGTATTGCAAGTGCCCATTTGTATTTTTCCCATCTCCACTCTGAGAACAGAGCCAATGCCTTTTTGCTTTCAGAAAAGAACATGGGCTACAGGGTATACACAGATTTCCAGATGCTGATTTTATTAATTTCACTATATTAACATGAAAAAAGGAAGAAATTTAATTACAACAAAATAAAGATTTACAGTTAAACACGGCAATAGAAATATTACCATTACAGCAGGATTTGTATTGCACTGAACTAATTTTTGCTTGAAAATCATAAAGATGCTTTCACATTATTTCAGTAAAGAAAGTAGAAAAGAAAGGAAAACTATTCTTTTTAAGCCAGAAAGTTTACTGTGAGGATAGTTTTTGGTCTTTTGTGTAGTCTATCTGTGGCTATTAACCTCACAATGTTACAATAGCTGATGGGGTAAGAGATAACAAACAGAAGTAGTGCCCAGGCATTTTAAGGCAAGAGGAAGAAGAATATTTTATAATATGCCATCTAGATTAAGGCATCTGATACATAAATTAAGAGGCTGACATTTTTGGGTTTCCCTCCACAGCTAGCCAGTTAATCTTGCTCTGAGACTAAATCCCATGACTGCTTCTGGCTCAGGCACTTATTCTAGTGACCACTGAGGGACCTTGAAGAGATTTGCTGTTAATTCAGGCATCTGCATCACATGCCTGACCTTAAGTACCATGGAATTCCCTCTGGTGTCCTTGCTGGAGGTTAGTTGAACCTGCCCCTCCAGATTTCTGTGAGCAAGTCCTTGCATGCATGAGCAGTGCCCTTTTACTCCAGGGCCCCAGGAAATGGGGAAAATGCAGAAAGGCAGCTTGCTTGCATAAGGAGAGCTCACCTGCACTTCTTTACAGTCTGTAGTAGGAAATTGTCTGCTATGCTCCTTCTTCCTCTCCTTTGCTAACCCCATGTCCCTGAAATTCCTTTCTTTTACAGGGAAACTCTCAATAGTGGAATAACTATATGGCCATCATACACCAGTAGTCCAATGGTCTCGAGTTTTCAATCAGCATGCAGTTCTCATTGAGGCAACAGTGGGATAGAGGCACTCCTCTCTTGGGAAGGCAGGAAGGTATCCTTGTCTGGAATTGGCTGATTTTGCAGTTCCAAGGCCATTGTTTTCCAAGAAGTGTATCCCAAAAGTCAGACTTTCTGTGTGTGTGAAGAGCATGTTTTTTCCCGTGCAGGAGCCTAACCTGGCACACCAGTGTCACATGTTGCTGTGTAAACTCTTCTTCTGCTCATGATTTACCTGTCCAGAACTGGAGAGTCCTGATTTCAGTACTGTGTTTACATCCTTCAGAGAGTCCTGATATTTTGCTCATACAGAAACTTGCATGGCACATACCACGGTAATTTTCATTCTGGTCTTGCAGATCTTTGCTGAAGGGCCTTTATTGGTTAAGGGTTTTTTGGTTTTTGTTTTTTTGGTTTTTTTGTTTGTTTGTTTGTTTGTTTGTTTTCTTGGAGGGATGTGACTTGTCAGAAACAAGCTCACACTTTTTAGGAGTTTTTGTCTTGTTGTGAAGTCAGTAAACTTGGTGTGTGCAGTTGCTTGAAGAATTACAACCACAAAAATCACAATGTTGCTGATTAAAACCACACTTTGAAAAAAGTCAGCAACTAAATGGTGATATGGCAGGCATAAAATTAAAAAGCAGAAATAAAAATGCTATAACTTAGTTACAGCTGCTAAAGGATTTTATTTAAAATTGACTGCATTAGACTTTTCAATATTGTTTTCCTCCCTCAGTAAATCTCAGTGGACAGATTTTTGTAAAAATGCACAATCATATTTGTCTGGACCCTGTTTAAATCTTGATGTGACCCTGATATACAGTTAATGTTTCTTGGAGAGCTCATTGATTCTCTTAGTTTAGCAATGGAAAATGCTGTAATCCCAGGGAGCAGTTGACCACAAGAATAGAGGGTCATACAGTTTTCAGTAGTGGTTGACATAAGGATCTTAAATAATGTCAAGCACTCCATAAAGCAAAGCAAGCAATGCAAAATTTGCTAACTAATGTTCTGATGTATTTTTACAGTCCAGTAGAGATATCATGCTCTGCAGTGGATTGTGTGAATGTGGAACTGGCTCTTTCCAACTTTTCATGATACAGACTTGGACATTTTTTGCAAAGGTGAGGTGCGACATGCTTTCGGAAAAAGCTGCGAAGATATGCCCTGAATTTTTCTCCAACAAATACATAAATCACAGGGTTGATACAACAATGGATCATTGAGATTGTTTCTGTCACTTGGATTGCCTTCTCCAGTTGACCTTTAAGTTCACAATCCGTGATGAAAAATGAATCTTGAAATGTATGCAAAAAAGAAGAAATATGGAATGGTGTCCAGAAGATGAAGTAAAAAATCATGATTACAAAAATAAGTCTGACTGCCTTCTGTTTTTTTTCATTCTTAGATCTCAATAATATTTTTAGAATTTGTGAGTAACTGAAAATCATAATGAGCATTGGAACAATAAGTCCCAGAATGTTCATCTTTAAAATAAAAGAGTACTTCCAATTTATTGTGGAATCACTTGGATAATGAGTACTGCAAGTATAGCCTGAACTTTCCTTCTGAGTTTTGTGAAATACTACCCCAGGAACAGAAATGAGAACAGCAAGAGCCCAAGTGACAACACTGGTGAGGACACCGTAGGTGACTGTCCTGGCTTTCAAAGCAAACACCGCATGCACTATGGCCAGGTACCTGTCCAGGGTCAGCAGGATTATGAAAAAGATGCCACTGTAGAAGCCAAGGAAGTAGACACCTGACAGAATTCGACAGAGTGCCTCCCCAAAAATCCAGTCATGGACTGCATAATAAGCCCAAAAGGGGAGAGAAAATACAAACAGCAGATCAGAAATTGCCAAGTTGAGCAGGTAGATGTCAGTCATGCTCTTCAGCCTCTTGTATTTTACCAGGATAAGAACAACAAGCATGTTGCCTGTCAGGCCAAATATCACCACTAAAGAATAAAGAGGTGGCAAAAAATTTGCTGCAAAGTGCTTTTCCTCTCTTCCCATGCATGGTGTCGAATCGCCATAATCAAATTCTGTTGTCACTGGTTGGTTGGTGTAGTCTGTTGTTTCATTTCCCATGGTGTATTGGTCTGGAAAGGAATAAAAAAACATTAAACTAGAGGAATCTCCAAGATTTTCAGTGAAGGGAATGAAACATGCTGATGTCCTCATCTGAAATGAGTTTTGCTGATGAGCACACAAGCATTGCAATGTCAAGGTATGAAAGAGAATGAAATTGCAGAGCTACCAGGAAACCCATCTATCCATCTGGGGAGTCACACTGGTGCATGTTGGAAGTGTGTCATTTCCCACATGTACATTGCCATGTGCATTCTTCCTCCTCAGTAGAGCCTGTCAGTTGCCTAACCCAGGGGGAAGGACAGATGAATTTAATGAGTTGTGGGCAGTTTGGGGCTCTTATGCTCATCAGTGGCTTTCCAGAGAAGCGTAGAAAGCCAGGAAGGCAGCTTCAGGAAACCACAGTGTCTGGCATGCAGAGCATGGTCTTGCTTCTCCTTGGGATTGGGCCACCTGCTCATCGTGCTGGTCCATCTTGTAGCCCTTGCCCACAGAGGACCAGGCACTGGTCCGGTGTAAATGGTGTCTGCAAAGGCACTGTGAAATGTGTGAAAAACAGCTGACTTCAAGCACTTCTTCAGGTTACTTCAAGTGACATTCTGGGAAGCTTAATTTCTATAGGAATTAGGACAGTACTAAATATACCCACCTGTGCTATTGTGGGTGTTGAAGAGTGGAAAGTCAGCAGTGTTGGTCAGGGTTAAAATGCCAAATGCTGGGGCTTTTCAGAGTCTAGGGCAGGTGTAGGCACTGAAAGTGTGCTGGTTTCAGATTGCTCTGGAATGAAATTGCTGCATGGTCCTGTAGAGAGAACAGACAGACAAAGACCTTAGCAAATTATGAAAAAGAGTTGCTATTGGAGTGGCCTCTAATACCTGTTTCTGTTGTGGCATCTTCGTGTTAGCTGAAAGGCCTCTCCACTTATGTTTAGGGATGTAAGGAGTTTTGATTCCTTGTTTCAGTAGTTGTTTACAGCCTTTATTCAGGAGCTGCAAAGTTCAGATTGATAGTGTCTTGGAGGGAGCACAAAGGCAAAAGGCACTGATATGGCTGTAGCTGAGTGTGCACTAGAGTTCTTCATGTGATATTCTACTTCACCCTTTGCCAGTCAGTGTTTCCAGTAAGGCAACCATGAGGAAGTGCAAGGGTTGTGCAAACTCTCTGTCCCTTCTGTTTTGGTTTAGGGACTGTTGGAGGGACTGAACTTCCCCTGCAAGAACAGGACTGGGTGTCAGCCCCTC